ATGTGGAAGAATGGTGCAGGACCTGCAGTACATGTTGTGCTAAAAGGGGGCCCAAGCATAAAAGACGTGCTCCAATGAAGTTATATCAAGTTGGTGCACCAATGGAAAGAGTGGCCATTGACATTGCCGGTCCTCTGCCCCAAACTCGTGATGGAAACAGGTACATTTGTGTGGTGATGGATTATTTCACCAAGCGGCCTGAGGCATATGCAATACCAAATCAGGAAGTTACAACTGTAGCTTTGGCTATTAGTGATTTCTTCTTCAGATTTGGTATGCCATACAAACTGCATTCAGATTAAGGCCGTAACTTTGAACCAACTGTGTTCCATGAATGCTGCAAGTTGTTTGGCATACGAATGACCAGGACAACGCCACTTCACCCACAGTCTGATGGGATGGTAGAAAAGTACAATTGGACACTTGGACAGGAATTGGCAAAGTTTTGTAATAACCGCCAAGATGACTGGGATGCCTTACTCTCTCCACTGTTGATGGCCTATATGGCTGGATACACTCCAGCAAAGCTGATGTTTGGTCGGGAACTGCGGTTGCCAGTGGATCTGATAACAGGACGCCCACCTTACGAAGAGTTGCCGGAAAATGTGTCAGAGTCCGTGAAAGTGTTATCTGAAAGGATGTATGATATTCAGCATCAAGTGCGTTCAAACTTGAAAACGTCTGCTGATTCGATGAAGTTAACTTATGATAAGAGATCTACTGAAGTCAGCTTTGTACCAGGAGACAAGGTATGGTTGTATAATCCCAAGAAGACCAAAGGGAAGTCTCCTAAGTAGTCTTCTCCATGGGAAGGCCCATATGACATAGTGGATCATCTCTCAGACGTGACTTTCCGGATAAAATGTGGTCGGCGAGGTAAGCCAAAGGTGGTGCATGACAACAGGCTTTGGCGTTATCACGGTCCAGGACATTTCAGTTGGAACAAAGTGAACAATGGAACAGATGACGCTGCTGAAGACGTGTCACCTGAAAAAGCCACTGTCGAAGAAGAAACTCTACCCGGTTTTTAGAAGGGAAACAGTGAAACTCTTAATGAAGTTACTACCACTGATGTGACTGTTACCAATGATAGGACATTTCCTGATGAAGCATATGAACCCTACGTGAAGCAAAAGCCAACGAGACGGAGACCAGTACGGAAGAAGATACGCCCCGTAAAATTAAGATACTTTTTTGAATTTTAATTTTGTGTTTGTAAATTCTGTACATTTAATTAAGTAATTGTTATTTTATCTATCGGTTTAATGTGAGTGACTATTGTTCGGGTCGAACAACACTAAAAAAGGGGCAGTGTTACAACAGCGGAAGTCACGTGACCCTGGTAACACGTGATGAGTTTCTAGAAAGATCATGACACTTTCTGGCAACTCTAGTCTTTTCTATGCGCCCTCTAATTTAGTATATAATCCGGCAAATAAAGCGGAGGGAGAATTGCAGACAGGGAGATAGACAGATAATCGAGTCAAGTGAGCGATAGTGACCGTAAGAAAAGTGCGTGAATCGTTGTGAATTAAAGCGTATGTTTAAGTTAAAATGACCGTGGAAATTCTGTGTATTGCAAAGTTGTATTGAGAAAGAATAAACTAGTTTTATTTCAGAAAGGACCCGTATCGCTGAAGTTCCTCGGAAAGAATTTTTACGGGAAATTATCAAAGAAGCAGATACGTAACAATATATATTCTTAATGTAAAAAAAAATATGAATTTGAGTTATATAAAGTAAGACGGTGAAAGAGTTTTGTATTTATACTAATAATGCTGGAGTCCCCATTGTCAAGACCAACATTAAAGTTTGCTTGTAATAACTGTTAAAAAACGTTACCTGAATACTATTTTATCACCCTGTTAAGCTATTCTAACACTTTAAATAAAGATAAAATAAAAACCATAACACCGCCTTATTTATAGAATGATAAATTATGGTATGAAAGTTTATTATAATATTCACTGAAGACGAAAGATTATCGTCTCTCTTATAAATGTGTTTATAAATATAGTATTGCCAAAATATAATAAAACATTAAAATAAATTTACGATAGTGAGATTGTTTCAAAAAAGATGCTCAACCTTATCATTCATTCAACAAAATCCTGTGACGTTCTTTCACGGTGTGACGCAAGCAAGGTTCTGAAGAAAACTGCAAGGTGGCAAAAGTATTTATTACAGAAAAAAAACAATAACTAAAAAACGAAATATTCAAAATGAAATAAAATAATTTCGGAATCTTCAACTATCATATCTAAATAAAAATAAAGTTTATTTTATAATCAATATCGCGCAAGAAGCTCAGAAAGCTTATTACATTTATTAGCAAAGATATTAATGAAATATCATACATTATCAAGAAAACATTTTTATTGTACAAAATGGATATGGTACAAGGAAATTTTTCTCAAGATGTGCTAAAATTTTTGTCTATTATTTTCGTTTTCTTCTTTAGCTTGCAATTTCTGTACACTCATAATGGGAGATCAAAAATAGGAAAACAAAAGCACACGTTTCTTTAATAATTTATATAAATTATATAAAATAATAAAACGTTTAGCCTTGAGTAGTTTCTACCAGTAGAATGTAGAAAATGTTTATGAATACTGAAAAACAATACGTCTACCTTACCTTGGCCTCAATAGATGCTCCTGGACAAGATGTATAAAGTGCCACGGCTTCGCGAGCTTCCTCCAAACCTATGGAATAATAAAAAAAAATCTACCAAATAGTTTGTTCACTTTATACGACCTCAGTTAATTTTACTTTTTCTGATTTGTTTGACCTTTTCCTTGCTGCTCAAATTATTCAAAAAACTTTTAACGTACTACTGTTATTGTTAGTTTTGCTAAGGGAAAGCTCCACGATGGGCTGCCTGTATTTTGCCCACCGTTTGTATCAAAAACCAGTGTTTTAGCGTTATAAGCACTCAGATTCACCAATTAAACACGGGGGTATTAACAGGGGAAAATCAACACACAATATTTCTTGCAATACCGCTAGAGCAAATCAAAATATAAACTGAAAAACAACGATTATATTCCTGACAGAAACAACATAAATTAAACAAATACAAGTTACAGAAAACCTGATTGAATAATTGTGAATCAATAAAATTTGTTTGGTTTTCATCTATAGTCCTTTACTCATTAGTGTACTGATACGTGAGTAGCGAATCTAAGAATAGGTTAGTTCTCTTTACGTCATCTTCTCTTCACTGGAATTCACGTTTTGGTTGAGGAAAAAAAGAATCTTAAGTAAACCAATAACACTTTTGTCTTATTTATATCGAGTAATAAATACCTTTGGCCTATTTATAAAACTCAGCTGACTTTATAATCAAAACATATATAAAAGTGAAGACTACGTTTTCCTGTAAATTACTCTTTTGTTTGAAAGTTTCTATGGTACAAAGGAAAAAAAGAAGTTGGTTAACGTCTATTTATTTTGAACTTTGATGTTAATCATCCTAAAATACAAGTTCTATGTGTGCATTCAATGATTACAATACTCACATTAGCATGACACCAATATGAGTCAGATAATAAAAGAAAATGAGTACAAAATTGGATCCATACTTAACAAGTAAACAATTAACGTTAATATGTTATCTATATTTATTGATTACTTATATACACATATGTTATATACAAGTGTTTATACGTATATAGATCAACAAATCACTTAGAGAAAATTATGAATTTTTAGTTCAGTATTAAATTCTAACTTGCAGAAAGCTCTCTACTCCAAAAAAGTGCTTGGAAGTTAAGCACGTGTCTGACATTTTGTACAAAACAAAGTATTTCATGTCTGGCAAGTTAATGACTTATATCTAAGCATGCATATACACACTATAAATGCACATTGTTACCGAAGTTCTTTTGACATACAAGTTTAAAATACGTAGGTGTTACCTTTAATGTTTTGGAGATACGTATAAATATTAACTGTGACTAAAAAATGTGTAGTACGGTAGTCAATGCCAAGTAACACTAATTTAAGTTTCATCCTTTCTATTAGGGGTCATGTCAAAAATGTCTACTCCGATAGTCACGGGCACGTATTATTAACTGAGTTTGATCAATCTATATTTTTTCTTATACAAAATTTGGTGAAAAACATTTATTCATACGAACCCAGACCTACTAAACATATAATCATAATACTAGCCCACAAATGAACTTCAACCAACAATTACAGATACAGTAATAAGATAAAGGACATCTTACATCATTTAGTTAAATTCTACATCATTATCTTGTAAGAACTACCACCAAATAAACGAGTTAGTATTTATTAGCAAATTATTATATTTAGATCAGAGAACACTTTTTTGAATGTGAAACTGGGCAAAATTAAAACAAAACTACTTACGTTTAATAACTATATATTACAAAAATAACATGAGTGTAATTTCTGATGTAGCTTTTAAATTAGGACGAGAATACAGTCTCGGTGATTGTAACATCAGATATAGGCCTAGTTTAGGGCGAGAATACCGATTCTCAGTGCACGTAACATCTGATGTAGGCCTAACTTAGCCATGAAAATACCGATATTCACTCTCAGTGACTGTAATATCTGATATAATTCTTACTAAAGCCGAACGATTTGCAAACATGTTTAGTGTTTTAAATTACAGATTAAATATATGTTTCTTTTTAAAAGTGAGATAGTTGTGGAACTCAGTATTATTCAAGGTATCTTACCTATGGTATTTTCATAACCATTGAACTTCTTTGAACGTACGCTATCTACAATAGTTTCTGTAATTTTTTCACATGGTTTCAGGTTGCCAAATACTGTGGGATCACCTATATCATAACCAAAACAAAATTTTACTATAAGCAGAAGAACTTATAAATCCATGGAATATGTGTATCAGATTCATAAGCTTGTAGATAAACAACAGATACATGTAACCAAACCCATAGATAAAAACATCTCTTCAAAAATTTTTTCATAAACACTTTTCAGTTCTAAAACTATTTTACTTGAAAATTCTGAAATAAAGTTCCTATTCTTAAAGGACTTCCAATAGGTTTTATTCACATATATATATACATATATATATATTCAATCAAATGTGATAAACTAAGGTGCTTTTCTCTATGAAATAATATAAAATATTCAGATATCATAGTAAGTTATTTGAAATAACACAGAAAAAAGCTCATAATGACGTGTTTTATATTGCTTGTTTTTTGTTGTTGTTTTTTGCCTGTTAAAGGCTTAAAATGTATTATTTAAAATAATAGTCCACTACAAAAATATCACTTTAAACCTCAAAGTATAGTGTTATGACGCGTTCTATCTCTGGGTGGGTTCTTTTAAGTTATTTGGTAGAAATAATGCCAAGTCCATTCCATAGAAAGCTAACGTTTGATATCATTTGCTACAGGCTACGTTCACTTTGACACAGGATGTAGGCATAAGTTCACACATAACGTTTGAACATATATTCTGAAACTGACTCAAAAATTGAATTTCTTACAGAATTTCCTCGATATTCGATCAAGCAACTGAATAAATGCGATAACCGTTACTAATAACACCAAACTGAATCATTCACTGAATACTTAATAACCCATTAACTGCTCATATGTATATATATATATTACTCATTGTTTCGTCTCTCTCTACGTTATTCATATTTATATCGTACTCGACTTTTGCTCACTACACGAATTTTCCTGATCATAATTTCCTGCGTCTCTAGAAAACATCTAATTTAAAACTTTGAAAACAAAGCTTACAACAACTGCAACATTTTCAATGTCCTTGTAGCTCTCGAAAGGATTGTTTTACTACAAAATATAATTCCAAACGTTTTATTTTACAGTTTTGAATGTTGTGTTGAAAGTTATTAAAATTTAAAGCAAAATCTGGATATAGAAATGTAATGATATCATCAACTCGTTAAAAATGTTATATGATGTCAATTAATTGTACCCTGGGGTGTTTTCTTAACCCAAATGGAATGCTTCTCAGCGGTAAGTCAGGAGGCTTATAACGCTAAAAACCGGGTTTCGCTCCTTGTGGTTGGCACAGGTTAAATAGATCTTTGTGTAGCTTTGTACTTAACAACAAACAAATAAACCAAATGGAAATTGACATTTCGCCTGTAGAAATTACATCAATATATAAACTTTCAGTGCGTTTGGGAGGCCCACTGAAGGAAAACGTGATATAACTAACAATCAGTTAACAGCTAGAAACGTGCTGTATTTTATAGATATCTTACTAATTTTCATCCTGCATATGTGAGGTTCTTACACAGATGTAGTTTTTATAGCGCCACAAGGTAGCTTGTAAGATAGTTCATAGACATAGATACGATAATTTGCTATCTTTTCAGTTCACTTCAGCTCGTTATAATGATAGCTCGGATATTCTAACGGGCTTACTTTGATGTTTTTGTGTGTTTAAAGCGAAGCCACATCGGGTTATCTGCTGTTTCCACCGAGAGAATCGAACCTCTGATTTTAGCGTTGTAAATGCATAGACTTACGGCTGTCACATCGGGTAACTATTGTGATATGTTCAATAATCATACCTCTTTTTAAATATTTGCATAATTTAACCAGATGTGAAATATTTTTGTGGTATTTGCATAAATTATAAAATCATTCCTGAATATATAGATAATTAAACATCTATATTTCTACGTCAAAATTTTCAAAGTTTCAATAGTTTTAATGAATTTCATAGGCCAGGTGTGGCTTAGTGATAAGTTTACCGAACCATGAATCTGAGGATACATGGTTCGAGTTCCATTGCCTCTGAAACCACGCTCTACACATTGAGGCCACAGACGCGCTGTAAGAGTGACTGTCAAATCCCATCATTTGATTACTTAGCCCTAGAGCTTGCCGTTGGTATTGTTGAGTAGTTGTTTGAAACTTAGAGACGGCTAGCACAGATAGCCCTTGTGTAGCTTGACTCAAGTTTTCGGAAAAAAATAACGAATTATTGCACTTTTTCAAACTTAATTTTACAGCGCCATCTTCAAAAGTCTTTGAACTTACGAGTCTCATTGGGGTCACGTTTCAGAATCCTAATGTTTTGCTAGATAAAGTGTTCCATGTAACTCAGTATCATAGCATTTTAACTCTGTTATCATTGGAGTCTTTGGGTAAACTAAAGCCACACTATTCGCATTGAATCCTGTCGGTATGTTTGAATTAACAATACTACAGCTAACGCTGCTGTTCGCCTACATCGTCACACTAGCACTGCAATATTTACAACTACTGCATTATTTTAACTTAGTAACCGTCACCATTTGTATAGAGTTCAACTATTTCGTTAACTATCATTGTAGGAAGCAAAACTGTCAACGTACTAGACAGCCTATTGGCTCAGTATTCAACAGTTCAGAATTATTTTTGGCGGCCATTCAAGACGGAAATAAATAAATAAATTTGTTTGTACACGACGAATACGAAAGAGGAAAAGAAAAAACACCCGACATGCAAATTTTATTATATCACCCTCTGGTGGCTAAAATTTTAATTGATCAAACACTGACGTTTTATCAATCTACTTTCAGATCACAGTACTTAAAGATGATGTCGCTCTTTAAACTGGCCATTAAAACAATTTTACTCAGACGTAAAAATACGAAGACTTGTACAGCTTTAAGATCTGTATTAAGAAGGTTTTATGAACACAAGAATGTCCAAGAGTTTTTTATTTCAATTTACTTTTGATAGAAAAAATATTTCACTTTGATGCTTTAATAATTCCTTCCATATAGTAAATTTATGCGACACTTTTCTCTGCTTTAATGAACAACGACAACTATATTTTGTATTTTTTCGGTGAGCTCGATTAAAATATAAACACTACTATTGATTTATAGACTATGTTTTACAAAAAAGCAAAAACAATTGTCACTACTCTTAACGAGATTAATAAAATCAGCTACTTTATTTATCTTCACTGACGCTATTTTTTTATTGTTATTAACTCTAGAAGCCCTAGTAGAGAACTAGCTGAGAAATTATTTATTTTGATGTTCTATTTCTTGATCTGCCAATCCGGGTGTCACAGCATAGATTAAATGAGTAAATCTATTTAAGCATAGAGGTGTATTATTTTATCTATATTTCATCCTTTGTTACATCTAATGGTAAATTAAATTCTAATAACAAGCTGAATTAAGAATTATAAGACAATTTTCCTGGTGATAGTGGAATCCCGATATGGAAAAGATTTAAATTAGTCCATATTTAAATAAATTTAATTTTGTAAGATTGACTTAATTATCTATAAAAACTATTTTAGAGAGCATTAATTATTTGGACAATTTTAAGACATTATTTATTAAAGATTAATTCCCAGTTTTACACAGGTTTAAACATTTTGCTCATCCTTTATATGTACACAAGCACGTTAACAACAAAGTGGAAGAATAATTTCCAACAACTCACCAATTGATAGGGCGATCATGTACTTCTTTGGGTTTGGTGTAATTTTCATGCTCTCTATAATCTTGTGAATTGGACTCGAGGTGTTGACGGCTACCTTTGAAGGCATTACATTCCAGGAACGTCTAGTCACAAAATTTGAAATCTCGTCATCAGAATCATGAACCTGAAAAGAGATATAAACAACTCTAGAAGGCATTTTGTGTTAGTATGTAACACAACACAGTTAATTCTTCTACTTATTAAAGTAGGACAGTTTGTAGAATAACAAGAAAATGATAAGGAGTGATCAAAAAGCTGTACAGAAATCACTAGCCAGTTTCTGTGGTTTGTTGTAGCTTTTCTTGTATTACTTTATTTGTAATTACTGTATTTTACTGTAGAGTTTAAAAAGGCCATAAATTATTATTCTGGTTAGATACACTACAGAGTTATTTTGAAATAGAAAGACGAACAGTGCATATTTTTGCAATTTAGCAGTGTTTAAATACAACGTTTAAGTAAGACCTTGGGCTTTATTATAACAGCTGATGCAAAAGATAAATTGCATTTAAATAATTTCGTAATTTTATTGGCTACTGACGTGATAACGTCACACGAGCATGCATGGTTGCCTTGGAGATGTTTAAACTACCAATCATTGCTGATTTTTATTTGAAACACCTACTCACCTAGTTTATATATTAGACGAGTTTTTCTGATGAAATTATCTGGATAAACAAGAACAACACGATAGAGTTACTTCATACATTCCGTTGCTTGTAATTATCAAACCATAACATACATTTGGTGGACTTAAGTGTGCATACATGCGGGCCATGGTTAACGCAGTCTCAGATTTTAACACTCGGGGCGTTATTCACGTTATGAGAGCTATCAACACCAGTTTATTGAAACAAACTGTTTTTAACATTGTCTTACTAAAGATAATTAAGTGTTTTTCATTGTCTGCCGACATTTACATGGGCGCACAGCTGTATGCAACTGAGTACTGTAGATGAGAAGAACGTGATACTGTTCTTATAACATGCTTTTGGTACAAGTATATGGCTCATTCAGTTGTCAGCAGGGATCAGTGAAACATTACTATAGTGTTTAAATTTACATTTTGTAATGACATGGAAGAATTAGCTCCATAAAATGGAAAGGATGACAAAATATTTTCTTGTCCTAACACTTTTGTAATAGTAATGTATACATATATTATTTGTTTATCGCTGCTGGATATTTCTGTTTTATTTTTAAAATTATCTTTTATTCTCGTTCAGATATTTTTTAAATATTTACACACATATCAAAACAAGAAAATAAATAATAAAAAATGTATGAAAAATGTGAAAAAATTGATTAGTGTCATAACTTTAAAGATTTGTCTTAAACCTCTCTTCTAATATAAGTTGCTTCCAGACTTTACTTCAAAGTTTATCAGATTCCGTAATTATAAGAGGAAAATGTATAAAAGAAATTCGGATATTTTTAAACACCTTACAAGTACTTCAATCTAAATGTCCCTGCCATTCCAAACATGCCCTTTTGAGTCACACAAAATAGAACAATGTAAAAACGAACAATTGTTAGTCAACAATTCAATCGAACGAATAATATTAGGTATGCTCAACATCAAATGTTAAATCCAATATTGTCGGCAAACAAAAAAAAAAATAATCAAGTTTACATCTAGAAGGATTGGAGAAAAGAAACGTGTTTTAATATTACCTGTAAATCTTTCAATTTCGGGTTGTCACAAGTTCGACAATATCTTGAAAATTTCAAGCTTCTCTCACGAGATGAAGTTGGAAGTGATTCCGTTGAAGAGTAAGGCATCTTTATTTATTTATGGTAGTAAACTATCTAGCAAAACAAAACCAGATTTAATTATTTAGTCTTATAGTATAAGAATTGTTTTAACTGTCTATTATAAACATTCTACTAAGTACGATATGCATTTCTAGTCTAAACATTCTAGTCTAATCACACCTCTAATCTATATATTTTATAATTATTTCAATATTCATTTCTTGTACCAATGTTCTTCTTTTAGAGCAGTATCTTTCTGTTATATGTGTTCAACTTAGTACAAATGTGTTTTTTTGTAGAAACCTTTTAACAAGTACAACATGCATTTCCAGTAGAAATGTTCTACTGAGCGAAATTTGTATTTCTAGAAAAAGGGATATACTTAGTGTAATAAACATTTTAAACGTTCAATTTACAGTGCTTTGCAAACGTCTTCACCCCTCCCCCCGTGCTGGTAATTAATTTCAGTTAATTTCTTGTGAAAGATATAATTCAAATGGCCAAAATATTTATTGATCTTTGGTAACAAAGAACAAATGGTGCATTAATACTCACTTTACTGATATAAGACAAAAAAAAATCTTAAAATCACATGTTACAAAAGTTTTCACCCCCTAACACAATTATGCAGTTAATATCTGGTTGAAGCTCCTTTGGCAGCAATGACAGCTGAAAGTCGTTTTGTATAACTCTCCACAATTTTTGCACAGTATACTGGAGATGTTTTTGCCCACTCCTGTTTCCAGATATCCTCCAGTTCTTGTAAGTTGGAAGGATGTCCTCGATGCACAGTAATTTTCAAGTCTCTCCACAGATTTTCAAGTGCATTTAGGTCTGAGCTTTGGCTTGGCCTCTTAACTACTTTAATATTCTTTCTCCGAAACAATTCTTGGTCTGCCTTTGATCTGTGTTTGGGATCATTGTCCTATTGAAATGTAAACCTTCGACCGAGTTTTACTTTTTCAGCTGACTTCTCCAGGTTTACTTCCAACATCTGTGTACATTTTGCACTGTCAATCAGCCCTTAATGCGTACACGTTCTCCAGTGTCAGCTGCAGAATAACATCCCTACAGCATTATGGATTCACCACCATGCTTCACAGTTGGGACTGTATTTGCCGGGTCATGAGCAGTGTTGAGTTTCCGCCATACACACTGTTTGTCATATGACCCAAAAAGTTATATTTTGGTCTCATCTAATCATAGAATTTTCTGCTACATTGATGTAGGTTTGTTGAAATGTTTACGGGCATAATCTATTCGCGATCTAAGACGCATATTCGTCGGTAGTGGTTTCTTTCTTGCACCTACCATACAAGCCTTTTTTGTGTGTAAGGTACGTGATATTGTCAAGATGTGTACAGAAACTCCAACTGCTGTTATTGAAATCTGCAGCTCCTTCAGTGTAACTGCTGGCTTGACAGTCGCTTTTCTGAATATTTTTCTGCTTGTTCGAGCGTAGGCTTTCTTAGGGAGACCTGATCTTGGCAAGGATGGAATAGTGTGACCGATTTTACAGTACTTAATGGCAAATTGAAAACCTTTGAAATTAATTTATAGCCTTCTCCAGAATCGTGTTTCTGAACAATCTTCTCACTTCGGTCTGTGTAGAGAGTTATTTTCTCATCATTCTCAATGTGTAACAGTAAACCAAATTTTAACTTTCAAAATACTCTGCTTAAATCATTACTGATTGCTGTATATGACCTAAAGTATTTTTTCACATGACGCTATAATATACTTTGGTATCTGATAGAGTTGTACAGAGCCACTTGTATTTACTTTAGCAGGGTAGTGTTTTCAATATTTTTTCGTGTTATATCACAAAATTTGGTAACAATGCACCTTTGTTCTTTGTAATCTTCAGAAACTGGTCTGAGATTAATATGATAAATATTTTTGGCCATTCGAGTTATGTCTTTCACAAGAAAATACCTAAAATTTATTACCAGCACAGGGGTGGTGAAGACTTTTGCAAGGAAGGCACTGTAGTGTGATATGCACTTCTAATGTATATTAGTACAACACGCACCTCTAATATAAGCTTTATATTTATTACAGCATATATTTCTAGAAAAAAACGTTTTACGTGGCAGTACCTAACCAGTAATATTAAATTAGTCTATAAAGCAGTATGTATTTATTAATTTAACATAGCATAAATTTATAGCTTGTAAAGCTCCCGTTTTTACCTAATACACTGACCGTGTTTCAAGTACAACATACAGCTTCTACTTTTATGTTAAATACTCCTTTAACTAGAACTACATACAATTTAGTATAAAATTATGGCGTAAACAACATAAATTCTTAACATTATTTTCTAAACTGGTGCAAGTGACTGGACTGTTCTACATGCATTGTAAATGTTTTTCACCATCAATTTCGGAAATCTATCCGTACTTCAAAAGCTATTGAAACGACACAACTGTAATGGTTCTCTTTACCTTATTTATTATTAAAATCTGTCATCCACAATAAAGAAATATTCTGAGATTTAAATCAAACGGAGAGCAGGTATTTTAGTGAAGTGAAGAGAGGCTTAAAGACTGAAAACAGCATTATAACATGCCAACTTAAGCTCATGAGTAGTGGAATTTTCCCTTTAACTCCATATTCTAAAACTCGCAACTATACTTTAAGAAAATTAAAGGAATCCAAATTAGTTATTCATAACTGAAAACTATTAATATGTTGGTATAAACGGTTGAATCCTAGTCTACCTATTAACGTTACTCTGTATAAGTAAACTCAAATTGTAAGCGATCTAATGAAACAGTAACTGACTCAGACTAAAAAAAATAGCGGTTGGTTAGTTTCTTCTTTCGTCAGTGTTCTACTACCAAGTCTTCAGACCGTGAAAGTTCGTGAGTTTGTAGAATAAATGGCACAGAAGAATGTATGATTAATAGAGAAAGATATCTCCAGAAACACAACGGAGAGGCTCCCCAGTGGCACAGCGGTATGTCTGAGGACTTACAACACTAGAAACCGGGTTTCGATACCCGTTGGGGGGGCAGAGCACAGATAACCCATTGTGCTCAACTACAACAAACAAATAGACAACTGAAGGAGATGAACAGAAATGTTCAACGCTTGTAGTTGAACGACGGCGAAGAAATAACCAGCAGAAACAATTAAGCCAATTCTACAATATGGTCGTCAACGGTACATTTTGTCGAAATCTTGAAAAAATAAAATCATAACATTTATATTCCAACATCACTTTGATTATTAAGAAATTTTAAAATGTTAGAAATGTGTGCAAGTGATACTATTCGACTTTTTTTAGCCATATTAATTAGTTGATGACATTCAAGAACAGAACGGTCCTGACGCTAAAGAATGAATATGTATAAAATCTGAAAATAAAATATTTTTATCTTGAATGTTTTTGATAATTGTACATAAATATTTATAGCTGTTAATATCTTTGTGTATGTATATATATATATATATATATATATATGCGTGTGTGTGTGTATGAGGAGATAAAACTTCTGGTTTAATTAAAAGATATTGTTAAAAATAGGGATGGGCGTCATTACCGAGTGGTTAGAGTGCATGAAGTGTGAATC